CACTTCTCCGTGTTCCTGGGATTGCCACGAAAGGAAACCCAGGTATGTGCAAAACTGGCCTGTGGCCTGGCCCCTGGTCATCAGGGTGTGGTCAGAATATGCTGGAATCAGGCTGCAGAGTGGCCCATGCATGATCAATCTCCTCTGCTTCCAGGTGTCCTCAGTGGGTTGGGTGCTGGGTGCACTGCCATGCTGCTCTGTACCCCAGGCCATTGCTCTAAAAGCAGGAGACTCACTCTGAGCTGTGTGAATTGTGCTGACAGCAAATAGCTGAAACACAGGTGGTTCAGTGGCAGAAACAACATCCTAAGGCACACAAATTGACTTCCTTGCTTTGGCATGTTCTTGCCATATGACACTGAAGTCCTGTTCTCCATGTAACTGGAGCCTCACCTGCCCAAAAAGCCAGTCCTCTGTGTTAGGTTCTTTTGCAGTGCATCTGGGAGAGCTCCACTGAGGCACAGTGGTGGGACAGGTCAGAAATGTCTCTGCTTCACACCCAGAAACAGAGACCTGCTGCTTTTCCCTAAGCTTCTCCAGAACAGCTGTGGACAGCCATGGTGCTGGTGGCCTCGTTCACGGGGGGATGTGGGATATAGGCATTGCTCACCCCAGGGGAAACAACAGCAACACAGAACCTCAGAGCAGCTTCAGCAGCAGGACCAGCCACAAAAGGGTCCCTGAAATGATTGTGGAGTCCAGGGAAGCTCCCTCAACCCCCGCTGTAGTCTCAGGGGATTTATATGATTAGGTTAAGTCTGTGGTTGTGGTGGGCCATTCCCTGTCCCTGGCAATGAGAAGCAGCCCAGGCCTTGGCTCCAAGCCTGGAACGTGGCACTGGCTGGGCAGGAGCAGCACAGGATCTTCCGAGTGCTGTATATCCCTGCCCGTGGCAGGGGGATCAGAGCAAGAGGATCTTTGAGGTCTCTTCTGAACCAAACCATTCTAAGATTCCTGAATGGGAAGGCTTTAGCTTTTGCACTGTTTTCTTTCTGTTTGAGGGAAGGGAATGGGTTTGAGTTCTAAGAAACAAACCAACACCAGTCTTAGAACAAAAGCAGTTCTGATTTTTCCCCAATGTGTGGATTTCTTACAGCATCTTTCCAAGGGGGGTTTGAGGGCTGGAGTGCCCACTCCCCTCACTACAGAACTGGCAGCTGTGGAGCAGGATGGCCATAACTCCCAGCTCCTCAGGAAACACAGCTGCACTGAGAAGATTCGTCCTGTTAAGGGGCTTCCTTTAGCAGACTCACCTGGCTTTTGTTTTAAGCCCTTTCAGTCTCTCTCAGTCTGAGTATCCTGTTCCTGCAGAGGGCCAAACTTCTTGTCTTTATTGCAGCCCCTTGAGTCTTCATGGAGAACCAGGTCTGCTTGCAGTGATACACATCAGATATTTCTGGTTTGAGCCAAGGCCCATGCTGGTGGGTTTTTTTGGTTTTGTTTTTGTTTTTTTAAAGGGAAGGAGACCTTTACTGGAATCCTGCAAGGTTTTATTTAATTTCCTCTGCAGTCATGAGCAGTGGTAATTGCTATAGGTTCCCTCATGGTGGTGATTCCTCCCACTGGTCCCTGGTTTTCACACTCAGGCTGAAGGTGATCCCTTGAGCTCAACTCAGCATTGTCTGATGTCCAGCTGCCACTTTCTAGGAGGTTGACCCATCTCCTCTCCCTTCCAACCTGAAGGTGTTTAAAAGGAAGTAATAAAGTTGATATTTTCATTGTACAGACATGATCTATCCAAGTTCTTCACGTGTTTTTGTCTTTTAAAATATGTGCTCCCCTGAGACTCGGCTCAGGGGCTGAGGAAGTGTGTTGCTTGTGATCACATCTTTGAGACACCTCAGTGTGCTAACACAAGAATGTGTTTGTGAGGAGCTTGTCGCGAAGTCTGGAGTTTATCAGTCCACTTCTTATGTGATAGAAAGATAAAATTAGTTCCAGAGAAAGAGAAATGTTGGAAATGACACAAAATCCTTCTGGTAGAAAGAGGAGTAATGGTTTGCAGCCATCAGGTATTTCAGATCACACAAGGGGATCAGTGCTGCAGATGGAAATACCAACATTCATTGTACAGTTCACCTCCCCCTGATGAGGGGAGGTGCTTCCAGAGGTGCTGTAGCTTCATCAGCCCGTGTTTGGAGCTGCCAAAAATGTGGCTTTGCAAAGACAAGGAGAACTAAAACTCCACTCCTGTCCAGGAGGATGATAACAGAGAGATGGAAGGGAATTCACTTGTTGGTCAAGAAAACTTCTGACTCCCCTCCTCAGACTTTGCAGCTGCTCCACTCCTGAGAGTTTCCTTCAGGCCCCACACAAGCATTTGTTTGATATTTAGGTTTAGGACTCTGTGCCTGCGTGTCTGGCTCTGAGCAGGCTGGTGCTCAGTCCTGGGAGCTGCCTGCTGGTCTTTGGCTTCGGCCCAGGAGAGAGGTCAGTCAGATCATCAGAGCACAGTTTGAGAGGAAAACAGGGGTTTTCCCTGAAAAAAAAACAGGAAAAACCAGCGAGTTTAGACCAGCAAAATTTCTGGTGTCCGTAGGTCAGGCAGAAATCTGATGAGTAAAGTCTGCTGTGATAAGCAAAAGTGGTCAGAAGTGTCAGATCATGCACTGACAGTCCTCTGAAAGTACCTTTCTTTCTCCACCACAGAGATTAAAAATGGCAAAAGAAGATGTTAAATGAGCAGGCTGAGGTTGGAAAAGGTTCTTCCCCCCCAGGCTGGTTGGGCACTGAACAGGCTCCCCAGGGCAGTGGGCACAGCCCCAAGGCTGCCAGAGCTGCAGGAGGCTTTGGACAACGGATGGGATTGTTGGGGGGTGTGTGCAGGGCAGGAGTTGAACTGGGTGATCCTTGTGGGTCCTTTCCAACTCAGGATGTTCTGTGGCTGGATGATCTGCTCACGATGTGTCTGTGCTGGTTTTCTGATGCCCCTGGATGCTCCCAGGTAACCCGTGGTGCACAGATGGGCTTCCAGGACAGAGCTGAAACAAGACCTGGCACAGCCTGAGCCTCCAGCTGGGAGGCTGGAATGGCAGCATCCCCATCACTCATGATGGGCAGGAGCCTGTAGTGCTGCCTTTGCATTTCCTGAGGGAATTGTGAAGGACAGCTCTTTATTGCTGGAAACACTAATAGTGCGTGATGGAAAGATGACTGTGAAGGAAACCTCAGCTGGAGCAGAAGGGATTTTTACTGGCTGCAGTGGTCATGGTGCCCCAGACCTGTGCTTTTGTGGGGAAAAAAATCAATGACTGCAGGCGCTTTGCGTCCTGAGAAACCATCAGGATTCACTCCTGGCTGTCCCATGGGATTTCCAAGAAGCGTCATTCTCACAGTCCTCTGGCACTATGCAGAGTCCCCTTTTTTGCCCCCTGTCCTAATCTGTGGGGTATGTGTCCGACCTCATAAAACCATTTTTCAGCTTCACCCTTGGTAGTTTTCTCCCTCTGCTCTCTGGAAGCCTCTGGCCTGCTGGCAGCAGCATTGTCCAGCGAGGTTTGAAGCTTGGCACGCTGTCAACAAACCTTCAGCTCCCCTTTCAATCAAACACGGGAGTGCTGAGATCCAACTTGGATCCCATCCCAAGGTTCACCATAATCATCCCTGTATAATAGGAAGTCCAAACAACCCCAGGAAATAATTCAGATGTGACTGGTGCCTTGAGTGGAATAAAGAAATGCCTAGAAGAGACATTAAGAGCCTCAGCTTTAACTCTTTTCATGATTATGCGCTCCGAAGGAGCGGAGGCTTTGGAGATAAAGGGATTACATGCATCTCATGAGGTCTGCAGAGACGGGACAGCGTCTTCCACCCCCATTTTCTCTTTTTTTTTAACTGCCATTTCAGTTGCCATACTTGGGGGAAGAATGTTGCAGAGCAGGCTCCCCTCTAACCCTGCAGGTCCCTTCCAATCTGGCACAGGTAAATTGAATCCGTCTCCCCTTAGGGATGAGCTTTTGGAAGAGCCTGTTGGTGAGAGCAGTGGGGGTGAGAATTTAATTGGATTAAGATGCATTTCAGCAGTGTTTGTGCTGTGGGCTGTGTTCTGTGGCTGCCGGAGGGAGCCACACTCAGAAGCTGGGCATGCCCTGGGATAGTCTTCCAGCCCTGGCTGCCTCTGTTCTGCCCAAGGTAAAAGCCCGTGCCTCGGAGGTGTGGATCTCTCTGTAACCCAGCACAGGGGTCACCAGGGCGTGAACAAACCATGTCTCGAGCTGGTGTCCTGCCTCTGGCCGTGAGCCAGCACCCACAGCCTGGCAAGGGCTCGGCTTCTCCTTGCCAAGCCCAGCAGCCAGGGCAGGGATGTGGTGGGGAGGGTCCATCTGGGCACCCCACCTTCACTCAGCTCTTTTTCTTGGGGTATGGGTGCCTTTGGCCTGTGCGTCTTATATTTTGATACCGTTATAAGTGCTCGTTCGCTTTTCAGTGTCTTTGTCATTTTTAAGGTTATTTAAAGGTTTGCTTCTCTTGACAACTTCCTCCATGAGAAAGTTGCACGTGTTAGTTTCCAGTAAACATTTCCTTCTCCCTGGTATATACTTGGGAGTTTTTAGTTTTGTAGGTTTGCTCTGCTGCTCTGGGAAGGGATAATTTGGAGTTCCCAGTTCACTCCCTTCATGCTACTCATTACTTTATGTGCCTCTCATGTGGTCTCTCTCCTTTTCATTACTAATCAGGTCTAGTCTTTTCAATCCTCCTTTGTGCAATAGTTTCATTTTACAAAAGCTGAACTAGTTTCTATCAGCTCAGTTGATGTGATCTCTCTCATATCAAAGGTGTTTAACAGCCGCAGTCCCGTGTACTCACTGCAAGCTGAACTTAAATTGTGTCAAGTTCTGCGCTGCTTTGCCGTGGCAAGTGGGAATGTTTGTTACAGCTGTCTTTAAATTTAAATTTGGATGTTTTAAATGAATTAAATATGAACATGAATAATGCAGCTGGTAACGTAGCCTTTCTGCAATTAAATGCAAACTTTTTCATTTTGTCTCTCTTGCTTTCAGGTTCTGCTATGCCGCAGTGTTTGTACTGACTCTGCTGTCTTGGAGGAGTGATGGGGAACTAGAGCCCATGACAGTTCAGTGGAGCCCTTGGCACTTTTGATATCTCGGTGAGTGAAAGTTGTTTGAAACTGTGGGAAAGGCACTTTATCTGCTACTAAAGGCAGCAAATCAGTTGGCCTTTTTACATTTTTAAGGTAGCCTCCTGCTGAAATGAATTTGCACATTGATCTGTCCTTTCAGGCTATAAATTCTGGAAACCAACACTCTAACACTGTGGTCTGTGCTTGGGAGATTATCTTGATCTCCACAAGCAGGAGGAATACAGCTTTTGAAAACAAGGGGAGTTTTAACTCTGGTGTGCAGTTGTGTACAATTGCCAGGTTCTGGAGGTGGAGCATTGCAGCATGTGCTGGGCTGTGGGAATCTCAAAGGCTGTATTTGGTGCAGCACTAAGATTGTGTCCTTTGTGCCATGGACCGAGCCAACAGCTCCCTAGCAGTGGCATGTTTGTGTCTGAGGTTATTCCACATCTGTCTCTGTGGATGCATCACTTACCCCCTTGGATACCAAACTGTATCTTCTGCTAGTTATTACTTTCATGTTTTTTTGGTCTGCAGTCTCTGAATGGAGCAAAGGCCGTGTCCGTCAGTGCCGCCGTGCTCCTGTCCTGCAGTGCCCCTGACAGCCTGTTCTGCCCTTCACTTCCTTCCCTCTGCACTGAAGTCTGTCCTCATGGGGGCATTTCAGCCTAGTGGAAACCCTTTGGAGTGATTGCTCTTGCTTTCCAATCTCTTGTCAGTGAGATAAAATCCTTGGGTGTTTCAGGTTGGAAGGAGCTTTTGGAGGTTGTCAGGTCCACAGCACATGCAGAACTGGCCTGACTTTGAAGCCAGACTCAGTTACAAGGTTAGATCAGGCTGCTTGGGGAGGCAGCTGGTGATGTTTGGAATATCTCCAAGAGTGGAGATTTTACAGCTCCTCTGGGCAACTATAAATTACCATCAGTGGGAATTACCAATTCCCAAGCCCTGTGTTAGTAAAACCCAGGGGCAGCAGAGGGGCAGCTCCGGTCTCTGCTCTCTGTGAGCAGTGGCAGGACCCAGGGGAATGGCTGGAGCTGTGTCAGGGCAGGGTCGGGTTGGACCTCAGGGAAAGGTTCTTCCCCCAGAGGGTGGTTGGCACTGAACAGCCTCCCCAGGGCAGCTCTTTCTGTGAAGAAATTCTTCCTGATATCCAATCTGAACCTCCCCTGGCACAACTGGAGGCCGTTTCCCCCTTATCCTGTCACTTATTACCCAGGAGATTGACCCCACCTGCTTCCACTCTCCTGTCAGGGAGCTGTAGAGAGTAAGAAGGTCCTCCCTGAGCCTCATTAGGGTTATTTCCACTGTGGGAGGGTGGAGAGTGTAGGGGTGCAGCCACAGGCTTCCACAATTCTGTGTGTGTAGGTGCTTTAGAAAGTCCCACAGACAACAGAGGGGCAGTGCCAGAGATCGCAGATGCTTGTCTGGTGCCTTTATATAACACCTTTCAGCCTGGGTTTTATGTCTGGGGGACTTTTCCTGCCAGACTGCCAGGCTTTAAAAAAATGAATGAAGAAAATTATGAAAAGAAGCTTTAAAAGTTGTAAATAACCTTTCACATGCAAGTTACCTTCCACTATTGAAAGGGAACGAAACTTTACTGCTTTCACAAGTATGTACAGACACACACACTATTTAGAGGAGAGGCAATAAGTGACTACTGTGCACCTTTTAATTTGGATTAAAAAAACAACCAGGAATATTTTTCCTTTAGTATTTAATTCCTTCTGTATTTTTCTTCTCAGAGTATTGCTCAGTGTTGCATCTAAAGGCTGTAGTTTATAGTGCTGTTATAGAAAATTAAAGTCTTTATTTCTCTTAGGTTTGGAAAAAGCCTGGTTTTCAAAATCCCAAGTTCTTGCCAAGTTGGAGCTGTAAATAACCCTTTAAGCAGCGACTCGGCGCTGTGTCCTGAGACAGCTTCCTCTTCCATCCTCCTCCCGACTGCCCCACTGTGAACAAAATGGAGTTATATTGACACAATTAATCTTTCATTAGTTAGTGGAGTGTCAAAACATGCTTTTCCTGCTTTCCCGAGGGCTTGTTTGTGGCTCAGCCATTCATTGGGGTGTTTCCTGGCAGGCCCTGGCGAGGCTCGGCATGTGCAGCGGGCACGGCCCTGGGAGAGCGGCTGTGCCGGCCACTGGGCTCCCTCCATGTGCCCAGCACACACCTCCCAAGAGTCCTGATTTTCAGGAATATTTGCTTATAACAAGAATGCAAACGCTTCTACTTGTTGGGGACAGTCCAGCCAGTTTTCCTCCAACCAGGAAGAAAGAATTTGCAGCACAACTTGGATGCTCAGGGCAGTGCTAACAGCAAAAGTATTTCCTGGGTCACTGTCCAATTTCTCATCCTTATCCCCCAGCACTTCTCTGAGCAATCTGAATTGCAAGTGGGGAGCTGGGGATTGCTGTGCTGCTTTGCCAGAGTTAATGTTATGTTTCCATGTGTTTTCTTTCATAAATTTCAGCTCTGCCTCCCTTTGTTTGTGAGTGGGAGCAGCCCCTCCTTCCACACACACGCTCCAGACCCACTGTGGGGTGAGCACAAAGATGGGCATGTGCTCCTTGTGCTGATTTATGCTGCTCCTGCCATGAATTTGAAGTTGTCCACAAATTAAAGAAAGTCCTGTAGTTTGAGGGGGTGAAATGAACTGTGAGTGCTCTGTGCAACCCTGGGTAACAGGGCGTGTTTCCCTCTGTGTGTGATGAGTTCATGGTGCAGATGAATGGGGAATTTTCTCATCTTTATTTCTTTTGTCCTAGACACCTTCAGTTCTCTAAGAGCAAGCCAGTCCCAGGATCAGGACAGCAGCAGGTGGTAGAATGCGGAAACCAGGCCCTCAGAAAGGTGAGCAGTGAGGTTTGGCACAGCCAAGGGCTGGTCAGGAGCTGGTGCAGCCTGGAGGACCCAGGGCCTCAGGGGGCAGGAACAGGCTGGGAGATGTGGTTGGAAGCCCAAAACCTGCGTGTTTCTCCATCAGCGTGCAGAGAACAGTCCATCAATCCACCCCCAGCGTGGGCTGAGCACAGTCCCTTTTTGGGGCACCCCTGCGGCTCGAGGGGCACAGCGAGGGTGCTCTGCCGAACCCACAGCACACACCATCTGCCAGTGCTCCCAGTGTGAGGCAAGCTGCCTCTGCTGGGACAGGCCTCCCCCTTCTAATGAGGCATGAAACCAGAGACCAGCCTACCTCGTGGAGAGGAAATCTGTCCCAGGCTCATCGTGTCCCTCGGTCCCTCACAGTGCTACCTGGGCTGGGCATCCCCCAATAACCCACAGCCTGCTGCCTGCAGCTGAGCTGCTCTGGCTTCTTGTGCTTAACTAAACTATTGATTTCCATTAGTGCTGTGCCGTGTGTTGGGCTGCAGTGATCTCATCACACGCTCCCGAGGCTGGGGGGAGGGAGAGCGGGAGGACAGAGCATCCTCGGCAGCCCTTTGTTCACATCTGCTCCACACTCCCAGGCTCTATTGCGGGAGGTTTCTGTGCTTGATTTCTCTCTTCCCTTTATGTTTTTCAAGTGTCTCCTTTGCTTCTGTGGTGGTTCATCTTAGGGCAGCATTAGCCTCTTCCTAACACTGCTTGTCCTTTAATGAAGTGAAAATAAATGAAGGAAAGCAGGGAATGGGGAGACCCTGCTGCGAGGCAGCTGCAGGGCTTGGCAATAAAGGAGGCAGGTTGATTAGTCAGCAGTGTGGCTGTGGACTGGGCTGGCTGGATTTAGCCTCACACACAGCTTGTTCTCTGTGCTCATGGAGCCTGGTGCCTCCAGCCAGCCTGGCTGTGTGACCTGTGCTGCCAGTGCTGTGACATAGGTTGCAGAGGCAGCACCTGCATCATGCACACATGGGTTTCTGTCCTACTTACTTGCTTTTTTAATAATGCATTAAACTTTCACTGTTTCTTTATTTGTCTGCAGAAATTCTTGTGTTTCTCTCCCTCTCTGCTGCTTTTGTATCATGCTTAATGAGGATTTTTACATGTTAAAGGTTAAGAACAAAATGTACCTTCGCCTGCAGAGTGTGGTGAGAGGCTCCTTTGAGTGCACAGATGCTGTTAGAGCTGTCCTGCAGCCCTACCCACTCAGGGGGGCTCTTTGCTTTTGACTTAAATACTTTATGTCCTTTATTCTTGCTTTCTTAGGGAGATGGCACAAGACTGTCCTTCATGGTAATGCCTTTGTAGGAAGGGTGTCCTTCAATCCTTTTCATTCATTTATGTATCTCCAAGGAGGGTCTTTGTCTGGGCCGTGTCGCTGTGGCCACACTCCATATGCCCCTCATGTTCATTTAAGGGATGCTGATCTGGGATCCCTCCATTGGGATGGAGGCTGTTGGAGGCAGGGATGAGCATTCCCTGCTCCTTGATCTATCCCTTTCCAGAGCTGTCTTGGGAACTTTAATTGTTTTGGAACTCTGAGGCCCAAAGCTGTTGTGAGCAAAGGCAGCTCAGATGAGCTGCTCTCCAGAGCTGGTGCTGCTTTGCTGTGCTCTCCTCTGAGCTGCACAGGACACATGGAAACCCCGTGTTGTACGTGGAAAGGGCAGTTGTGCAGATTTTCAGGGAGGTCCTCTCCCCATCTCCAGAGAGGGCCAAGGCTGTGTGTGTGAAATGACCAGGAGCTGATACCCAAGGAGAGATTCAGGCTCCACCTCTCGGTGCCCAAGATCCACATGAGCCATTTTTAGTGGCTGTTGTGTTTGTTCCTCTCGAGCTCTTCTTCTCATAGCTAAAATGAGCTGTAGCAGTTTGCTGCTCTTTGTGTTATTGCTGATCACTGGGGGAGAGCAGTGGCTGGTGGGGACTGGGCAGGGCCTGAGGTGCAAATGCAGGTACCTCATGTCAGGTATCTGCATGAGCTGTGGGGATGAAGGGAGCACGCCCCAGAGACAGGGGCAAATCATCCACGTCACCCGGGGGCAGGACAGGGAGCTCTGCTCCTCTGAAGTGCCTGTAAAGCAGGCAGTGTTGAAGGGTGCATTAGCTGGCTCCTTTCCCTCACACAAATGCTCTATTTCTTGTCTCAGCCATAGACTGGAAAGATGGTAAAAAGCACAAGTACAGCCGCCCGTCAGAGTCTCCCTCCCAGTACCAAGGTAAGAGAGCTCCCTTCTCGCCCTTCCTCCTCCCCTTCTCCCTCCCTGCTTCCTCCTTCCCCCTGCTCTCTCTCCCCCAGCTCAAATGGGCTGGGTATACTCAGGTTTTGGGGTGTTGGGGGCTCCACTGCAGTTTCCTTCTGCTCCACATCCTGCACCATCTGCAGATGCAGAGGATGGGCTGTTTCTCAGTGGCCACACTGACCTGAAATGGAGCTTTCTGTGCAATGCAGCACCCACGGTGACCCAGCACACCAAGCCTGTACCCACGGCATGCCAGGCCTGGGAGGGAAGGCTGCAGGTGGGCTGGGGTGCACACGGCTGCTCCACAGGTGCATGGGTCAGGGATCACCTCCCTGCAGGAAACTCATCACTGCCCCAAATTTAGGGGTGCATCCTGTTAGAGTTGGGGCCTGGAGAAGAGAACGCTCCAGGGAGAACTTGGTGCCCTTTCTGGTGTCTAAAGGAGTTCCAAGAGAGCTGGAGAGGGACTTTGGACAAGAGCCTGGAGTGACAGGATGGGGGGCAATTGCTTCCCACTGCCAGGGGACAGGGTTAGATGGATATGGGGGAGAAACTCTTGGCTGTGAAGGTGGGGAGGCCCTGGCATAGGTTGCCCAGAGAAGCTGTGGCTGCCCCTGGATCCCTGGAAGTGTCCAAGGCCAGGTTGGACGGGGCTTGGAGCAACCTGGGCTGGTGGAAGGTGTCCCTGCCCATGGCAGGGGGTGGAACAAGATGAGCTTGAATGCCTTTTCAACCCAAACCAGTCTATGATTCTGTGATTTTATAGAGGGGGTGAACCTGCAGCATCTTTCTGGCATCGCTGGAAGGATTTCTATTCAAAGCTAACACTGAAATGGGACACCTCTGAGGAGGAGCAGAGCAGACCAGACAGTCCTGGTGGTTGAAACCTCTTAGTTTTGACTCACACGTCAGGACAGGGAGTGATGGGGCTCCTGTTCTGGGCTGTAGCTGTTCCCAGTGGAGCATGTGCAGCCAGACTGAGTGCCTGGGAATGGGAACAGTGGGACAGGCAGGAACTGTGCAGAGCCAGTGGCAGAGCTGACCCCCGGGAGACGCGTTCAGACATCAGGCACAGCCACTGTCGCTGGGTCTGCGAGCCCAGACGATGCTCTGCTCATTTTCATCCTGTGCTGCTTTCATGTGCTGCCTTGCTGCTCCGTAGCAGCCACACATATGGGCTGCAGACTTTAATGGGATGCCTTGATCTGGGTAGGGCACGTTCTCCTTCACAGCTGTGACCTGAAACGCACATGTATTGTTTCAGTTGGATTGATGACCCCTCGGGAGCCAAAATGCTAATGGAGCCCAAACCAGACTTCAGTTAAAAGATATAAACAGAAACTCCATCTTCATTTAAATTCTGGGCAAAGGTTCAGTGTTAAATGCAACATGAAGAGAATCCAAACATGAGGGTGCAGAGCTGCATTGTTCACAACTACTGGAGTTTGACCCCTTGGGTGTGCAGAGTGTTTTGTTTGGAGTAAATATTTTTGAAGGTTAAGACATCAGAGCCCAAATCTGACTCTCTGCCTGCAAGTAATACCTCCCTTCGGCATGAGCACAGGGCAGGGAGCTTTCCCAAGGCAAACACAAGTGACAGACCGTCAGCCCGGTGGCATTTCCAGGGCCAAGTCCCAGGGAGTCACACAGGTTCACAGTCCTTGGCTTTTGTTTGGCTCACAGATGCTACTGCAAAAATGGGGTGTTTCTGATTAAGTGTTTTTCTCCCATTTCTTCCTGTGAAAAAGATCTGATGTGCTCGAGAGAGCTGGAGAGGGACTTAGGGCAAGGGCCTGGCGTGCCAGGACAAAGGGGAATGGCTTCCCACTGCCAGGGGACAGGGTTAGATGATATTAGGGTGAAAGTCTTCCCTGTGAGGGTGGGCAGGCCCTGGCACAGGTTGCCCAGAGAAGCTGTGGCTGCCCCTGGATCCCTGGAAGTGTCCAAGGCCAGGTTGGATGGTGCTTGGAGCAATCTGGGCTAGTGGAAGGTGTCCCTGCCCATGGCAGAGGTGGGACTGGATGAGCTTTAAGGTTCCTTTCAACCCAAACCATTTTATGGTATGATTCTGTGTGTTTTACCTGGAGGAACAGTCCTTCCCGATGGGGATCCTTCCAGTGGTGTGCTCTGCAAGGCAGGGGAGGGAACATGAAAGAGCAGGCAGAGACCAGGTGAAATAGAGGATGATTTTAGGGCTGGTAGGACAGCTTGCATATGGTACTGGAAGGAGCAGCAGTGGAGCAAGCATTCCCCTTTGCTTTTTGGGGCTGGAGAGGATTTCATTCCCTGCAGTCAGCTCTGCCCTTGGACACTCCTGCTCCATCATCAGTAAAAAGGACTGGCTGATGTTTTTTCAGGAAGCAAAGTGATTCACTGGCAAGTGGGGAAAAGCCATCACTGTTTTTTGACCAACACTCAGGAACTGGGGTTACATGTCCAGGCCAGATCAGAAACAAGCATCTTGCAGACTAAAATGTCCTGTCCCTCTGCAGTAAGGCGTCCAATTTATTAATATGGATAAGAATATTGAGAGAATATAAAATACAAGAGAGTTGGTCAGTGCTAAGGAGAAAGCTGGGCAAGACATTTTTGCCTCTGGCCTTCCAACCTCTGTCCCCAGAGAGCCTGCAGAATGGCATCAGCAGCACAGGCAGCTGAGGTGTTCTGGCTGCTGTGCAGGCTCCAGGGGAGACCTGTCTGGAGCTGGGTGTGGAGAGTGAGTGGGGATCATTGTGGTGAGCAGGATTTGGGTACTGCCCAGGGGAGCTGAGGTTGAGAGGGTCGGGTGTGATGTGTCCCTTTTCAACCACATGCCCTTCCTCAAGGACAGAGCTCAAGGGCTTGTGTTCTGCTTCCCCATTAACAAACCCTGAGTGCATCCTGCTTTTTCTGTTTTATTGGCAGTCAACCCTTTGTTGTAAAAAAAAAACCCCAACTTCAGTGTTATGCCATTTTCATCTGATTCTTCCTGCTGATTGTATTTGGTTAAGTGTACTTTGAAATTCCTGCTTGAAAATATTGTATTGTGAGCTGGATACTATTGCTGAATTCATTTAAACCCATCCCCTACGTTCTGTGCAGGATCTCCTCTCATGCTAAGGGAGTGATGACAGCCTCCAGTTGCAGTTTTATCCTGGTTTGAGAGTAATCCTGAAAAAGAAGTGCAGGCTCTACCTGTGCTAGTTGTGCCATCTGTACAGGGGAATGGCCAGTAGTGAGCAGAGAGGGAGGGAGGGAAGACTGAATGCTTCTATATCAGCTCTGTCTTTTCTTAGAAGTCATCCTGCTGCTCCTGTTCTTCTGTGCAAAATAAATCACCAGAACCACAAGTTGTAAGACTCAGAGAACCACAGAATATCCTGAGCTGGAAGGGACACACAAGGATCATCCAGTCCAACTCCTGTTCCTGCACACACACCCCAACAATCCCCCCCTGTCCCTCAGAGCGTTGTCCAAAGCCTCCTGCCGCTCTGGCAGCCTTGGGGCTGTGCCCACTGCCCTGGGGAGCCTGTTCAGTGCCCAACCAGCCTGGGGGAGAAGAACCTTGCCCTGAGATCCACCCTGAGCCTGCCCTGACACAGCTCCAGCCATTCCCTCAGGTCCTAAAGAACTTGCAGTTCTAGTGTTGTGTGTCTTCATATGGTGGTTGAGTCCCAGTGGGCTCTAGAATTAATCTCAAATAAGTTCCATGTCCAAACACTATTTTTGGGGGCCCACAGCTGTCTCAGGAGTTCACTGCTCCTGCTGGGATGGTGCAGGGTGGACCACCTGTGGGGTGAGCTGCTGTGGGAAGCAGGAGGGCCTTGCTTGGTGTGGAGGGAGTGAAAAGTGGAAAGATTAAAGTGGATTGAAACCAGCTGAGGAGAGGGGAGGTTTGGTGTGTTCTTTTAAAAATAAAACTGTCAAGCACAGCTGATCCTGCTCAAGCTGCTGGATCAGGGCCTGGTGCAGTCACCCCGGGCACCTCCTGTGCTCCAGGGCCTCTGAAGGACTGCCCTGGTCTGAGATGAGCCCAGATCAGCAACCAGAGTTAAGGGGTGGGATGCATAAGGCATTTCCAGGCCGGGAGTGCCTGGCTTTACTTTGCTTGGGTGTTTACTCCACATTATTCATGCAAAGAGTTTCATTGACATAATTGAATGTAAAATTGTATCTTCAATTAAACCAAAAGATTTTTGGTTTTATGAGAACATCATTGCAGTAATTCACTGAATTTCTTCATTCACCCAATGTGAGGCTGTGGCTGAAAGGAAATATATGCCAGTGGATGGAACAGGGTACTCTGGGGCATGGAGAGCTGCTGTCAGTCTGTAAACAGCAATATTCAGCCAGTGTGGCAATGAAACTGTATTTTTTCTGTTTATTTTCCCTATATTTAACAGTGTGCTAGTCATCTGCATGGGAGGTGGCAAGAAAGCAGCGTTCCTTGTATTCATTTGGAGCTCATAGATGATGAAGGCTCCTCTGTGCACACGAGGCAACTCTGAAGCAATGTGTGCTGACCTTACTGCCTGGATTTTCAGAGGTGTGGTGTGTGCTGCAGTAGCTGAAGTGGCTCTTAATGTAGCTTTTGTTTTGAAAATAGGCTGATTAAAAATTTGCCGTGACTGGGGGAAGTGGTAGCTGACTGTAATTGTGCTGCCACCACTGCTCTTGAATTGCCTGGAAAACAGCGAGGTCTCCTGGGAGCCCTTGGGATGAATGCAGGCGAATGACATCCTGGAAGGATCCTCTCCCAGCTGCTCAGTTTAAATGGCAAAAGTCATGATTTGCTCAGATCACAGGAGCTTTGAATTCCTCATTTAATAACAGGTTTCCCTGGGTGGCACGTTGCTGTCACCCTTCCTGCCGTGCCTGTGGAAGGGGCAGGCAGGAGGAAACGTGCTTGTGTTGGGTGTGAGGTGCTGAGCTCAGTAAATCCCCGTTTGGAGGATCCCTGCTCCCATCCTGCCCATGCTGTGCACTCCCTGGCCGCTTCAAGGAGTTGTTTGCTGACCTGTGCACCGACTGCTGGGCTGATCCCTGCTCTGGGCTGCTGGGTGGGTGGTGTGTGCTGGACCAGGGGGACCGTGTGGTCACCACAGAGCAGATCCCTGTTGATTTAGAATCATGGAATCACAGAATGGCTTGGGTTGGAAGGTGCCTTACAGATCATCTTGTGCCAGCCCCCAGGCTGGGCTGCTCGTAGCCCATGCTGACTGTTCATAAGCCCCAGACTGAGTGATGTGTTTAATGAATGGTTTTTAAGGGACAGTTGTCTGGAAGACCCTGCAGATTCCCATCTGTGCTGGGTGTTTTCCATTAAGCTGTAGGTTGTTCCCCTGGCTCTGTGCAGCCCCTTCTCAGCAGCACAGAGGCAGGAAGATGCCGAAGGCAGCGCCAGGCTTTGTTCTGCCTGTCAGTTGCAGTTGTAAATCTTCTGTGCTCACAAACATCAGAGGTTCCTGATGAAAACATGTTGCCTGTGAGCACCTCCTCTGTGAGAAGTGCAGAATTGCTGGCGTCAGGAGTCCAGCCAGCTCTTCTTCTGAGAAATCTGCTCACCAGTTCCTGTTTGATTCCTTTTGTTTTCACTTCTCAGGTCACTTCACCTGGGAGAAATACCTGAAAGAGACATGTGCCATCCCAGCTCCTGCCCATTGCTTCAAGCAGGTAAGAGAAAGGTCCACTGGAGACCCCCGAATTCTGTGCCTGGAATAGGCCCCTGGTTTGGCAAGGAAAATACTTAAGGATATGGGAGACTTAACAGAAATCCAAGTGTGCTGATGCAAAGATTAAAAAGATACTTTTAGAGCAGCAGAGGAGATTTTACTCTCAGATGTGCACTAGGGGAACATGAGTGTGCCTTTACTCTGCCGAGCAGAGGCCCTTGGGGAAGGGTCCTGAGTAGGGTGGGATCCAGCTTTTGGTGGATCCTGCCCAGTAAGGAGATTTTCTGCAGAATTCACCCATCTTTGTGAAAGGAACAGCAGCCCCCTGGGCAGCAGGCATTGAGCACAGAGGTGGTCATGCTGAGTACAGGGTTTGCAGGATGAACTGCTGAGCAGTGGTAGGGCTGCACCACAAATTCTGGGTTCAGTTTTGGGCCTCTCACTACGAGAAAGACATTGAGGGGTTGATCCATGTCCAGGGAAGGGTCTGGAGCACAAGGAACAGCTGAGGGAGTTGGGAGGCTCAGCCTGGAGAAAAAGAGCCTCGAGGGGACCTTCTCACTCCCTATAACAGGAGGGTGGGGCTATGTGGGGGTCAGGCTCTGCTTCAAGGAAACAAAGGACAGGACAAGAGGAAACGGCCTCAAGTTGTGCCAGTGGAGGTTTAGGTTGGGTTCAGGGTAATTTCTTCAGTGGAAGGGTGGTCAGGCCATGGAACAGGCTGCCCAGGGCAGTGGTGGAGTCACCATCCCCAGAGCAGTTCAGAAGACGTGTAGATGTGGTGCCTGGGGACGTGGGTTAGTGGTGGACTTGGCAGTGCTGTGGGAATGGTTCGACTCGATGGTCTTAGGGGTCTTTTCCAACCTCAGTGACTCTGTGATTCCAAGAGAGCAGGCTCAGTGTAGTTGCTGTAGGTGCAGTGTGGAAGGACAGTGCTGTGTGTCACAGAGCTGCCAGGGCTCCCTGGCCTTTCCGTGGTGCCTGTCCCTGCGCTGTGCCCGGAGGACACCATCAGTCCCGCGTGGGCCCCGTGCGTGAGCTTTGTGCCCGAGCTGGTCCATGTGTTGGCAGTCCTGGCTCTGACCCGCTCCCTGTTCCTCTCCTTGCAGTCATACACTCCCCCTGCCAACGAGTTCAAGATCAGCATGAAGCTGGAGGCCCAGGACCCCCGGAACACCACGTCCACGTGCATCGCCACCGTGGTGGGGCTGACGGGCGCGCGGCTGCGCCTGCGCCTCGACGGCAGCGACAACAAGAACGACTTCTGGCGCCTGGTGGATTCTGCTGAGATCCAGCCCATTGGGAACTGTGAGAAGAATGGAGGCATGCTGCAGCCTCCCCTGGGTGAGCTGCAGTTCAGCTGTGCAGCGAGGGCTTCGCTGATTATGGGCAAAACTAGGGGGTTTCTATAGGTCTGTGCTTGGGACAGGGGCCCGTGGCCTGCCCTGCCTGCACTGGGGTATAGACAAGATACAGAACCAGATGTTTCCCAGACCAGGGCTGTATTTCCATATGGACACTCTGACGTGGATGGGGAGATGCTTTAGAGTGTAGATGAAAGAGGTCTCTGCACCAAGGTGAGCTGCTTGCCCTCATTGCAGCTCAAGCTCAGGATTGTTGCCCACAGAAGCTGTGGCTGTCCCATCCCTGCAAGTGTCCCAGGCCAGGTTGGACAGGGCTTGGAGCAACCTGGGCTAGTGGAAGGTGTCTCTATCCATGGCAGGGGGGTGGAACTTGATGATCTTTTAAAGTCCCTTCCAACCCAAACTGTCCAGTGACTCAGTAGCAGGTTGCCTGGACAGGAAACATAATGTGTGAAAAGGTTCCCAGTGATTTACATCCTGTCTCGTGTGAAGGGACACTTGCAGTAGTTCCCGCTTATTTATTTAATTTTTCTTGGCTACAACTTTATAAATAGACTGGACAGTCCAACAGTTCTTCCAGTCTTGTCTTCAGATAAACACACAACTCTTTCCTTCTTTTTTGACACTAGCCATATGCCGAGCTGATTTGCTGATTCTTTCCTCGTAAGATTAGCCTGCTTTTGCATTCTGCTGCCCATTAATTTTAGTGTCTTCATAAATCTCTCTCAATTAGCACATCCCCAAACAAGATTTTCGAGGCCAGGTTGGATGGGGCTTGGAGTGACCTGATCTAATGGAAGGTGTCCCTGCCTGTGGCAGGGGGTGGAATGAGATGAGCTTTAAGGTCCCTTCCAACCCAAACCATTTTGTGATTATTTAACACTAAAGCTGCCATTTGCTCTGTTACTTTCATGCCTGCTGCTGCCCATCTCTTAGAAATCTTGGTCCCTGGTGCAGGTTCCAGCTCTGGTGCCCTGCCCAAAGCCTGTGGGTACCTCTCCCAGCTGGCAGCTGTGGGTTCCTCCTGTACCTTGCCTGGAATTTGCCAGCAGATGGCATCAAGTTTAAGGAGCTGCAGATGAAACTCACTCCTGGCTGTGCTGGAGGTGAGGGATGAGCTCTGGGACAGGTCTGGGAGCTCTGTCTGCAGAGAGGCTGTGCTGAGCCTTGCAACCCTGGCAAAGCTTTGACATGTTGCTTGTCATGGGCTGCTCCCAGTCTAGGTCCAGTCCCAGGGTTACTTTCAGAACCCCACAAACACACACCAAACACAGCTGAGCAGCAGAAATTGCCTGTGCAGGAAGATGCACATTTAGCAAAGAAGCAGCTTTGTGATATCCAGAGCCTCTTGTCAGTTGTGGAGTTGTACTCAGTGCCACAGACTCAGAGCTTGTGAAGTTGTGGGTTTTTTTCTTCCCAAAAGCCCCTTCTTGTTATTTCACTACTTTATTCACGGAAGGTGTTGAGCCAAAACCTGTCATCCTTCCCTGTAAGGGTTAAATCTGTTTCTCAGCCAAGTCACAGCCTCTATTTCTTCAACTTAGCTTGCCTGCAGCTCACAGTAAAGGTGGAGGAGGCCACCCAGAAGGTGTGATTCCCTATTGGGGAAGAAATTCCATAGGCTGAGTGTGCACTTGCTGATTCATGTCTCCCCTTGGCAGGATCCCTGGAGTGCCAGCACTGGCACAAAGTGCTCTGCCTGGATGGTCCATGGGCAGGCTTTTGTTATGATAAGTGAGCATTGCAGTCACACAGCTGTTTCCAGATGTTTCATTTCAACAACACAGTGCTTTGCATTCAGAGTATCTGGAAAAGGTCAAACCTGACTGCAGCATGAGGAGGAGGGTGGTGTGGAATCATAGTTGTGTGAGCTCCCATCAGAGCAGGCATGTGCTGCCGGAGCCAGGGGCCCCCACAGCCTCAAAGTCTCCCTCTCTGCTTCCTTCTCCTCAGGCTTCCGGCTGAATGCCTCCTCCTGGCCCATGTTCCTCCTGAAGACTCTGAATGGAGCAGAGATGGCTCCTGTCCGGATTTTTCACAAGGTATTTTACTGTTTGTGCAGATCCTTCTGGCGTGGCCCCCTCTCACGAGAGATGTGCTGATCCCAGGGCAGGTGGCGTTGCTCAGCTCTGCCTTGGTGCCTTGTGCCCTCTCCAGCTGTGTTGTAGCAGTGTCAGGATGCAGCCAGAGCTGTGCTAAACCATCGACCTGGGCTTCAGTGTTTGAGATGTGAGATTGCTTTTCACCAGGGCTGCGGGTGCTGCTCGAAGTGGGGCATGCAGGGTGGGGAAGTCAGCACCTCTCTGGAACTTTATAATGTGCCAGAGCTTGCAAGTAGAGCAGATACTGCTGTCAGGCAACTGTATGAGTTCATAGGTTGTGTTCTCGCACCCTTAGTGCAGTCAGAGAGAGAAGCCGGCTAGAGGCATGTGGGATGGGGTGGGATGGGATGGTTGGTGAGGCTTCAGTGGATCTCAGGAGCAAGCCCCAGATAAGGTGGATGGTGGGTCTCTCACGTGTCTCGCAAAGCTGAAAGTGGGGGTAGAATGATGGAGAGACACTGTCATATCTCAGGTTCTCCAGCTCTGAGATAATAAGGTGAGGGTATCCTCTGGAGGCTCTTTCTTTGGAGCTCTGTTTTCTGCCGGTGGTGCATGACAGAGCTGTTGCAGGGCACAGTGTTCACGTGGCACATCCTGGGTCTGGCCCAGCAGCCAGCTGAGGGCAGAGCAATCCACAGTGGATTTGTTACCTCTTGGTTAAGGACGTGGGGCTGTGTAGCTCAGCCAGAGTGTTGTGGAGTGAACCCCACACCTGTTGGGGTTCAAATCCAGCCCTCTAACTCCGTTCAGTGGAGGTGAGTTTGCTGATGAGGGCACAGCCCTGGTCTGGGGAGGCACTGGCATGTCCCCTTTGAGCATATATTCTACTTCTTCTTGTAGGAACCACCATCTCCATCCCAAAACTTCTTCAAGACAGGTATGAAGCTGGAGGCAGTGGACAGGAAGAACCCTCACTTCATCTGCCCGGCCACCATTGGGGAGGTGAGAGGTTCTGAGGTCCTCATAACATTTGATGGCTGGAGAGGTGCCTTCGATTACTGGTGCCGATATGATTCCCGGGACATCTTTCCCGTAGGCTGGTGCTCGCTGACTGGAGATAATCTGCAGCCCCCTGGTACAAAAGGTAAGGCTCACGTTGTTGCTTAGCTGTCTTCCTCCTCCACTCAGCTCTCTAAATGCAGCACAGCAGGCAGAGACTGGCAGCAAGGACACCTGGGTGCCCGGTCTGGCTTTCTTGTGCTGCTTCATGCATGGTAAAGCCACGTGTGATCACACCCACAGCACTGGAACAGCCTGACTGGAGGTACTGAGGAGCAGCTATCCGTAAAGATGGGCAGGATGATGGCTCTGGGGAGGGATGGGGCTGTACGACACTGCTGAGGTCTGCTCCGCTCCGGGAATTTCCTTGGAGTCTTTCCTGCGCCTTTGAATCACGTATTCCTGTGGAGATATTCTCAGGGGAACTGGAATAATGAGAACTGTGGAGTTGCAGGAATGCGCCTGTTTGTTCTTGGGGCAGTTTCCTCGCTCTGCCTTGTGCTGTGAACGTGGGAAGAGCAGGTGTGGAGCAGATGTACCTGCCTTGCTCACAGGACTGTAACTGTGGGATAGGAGCAGGACTGGGGGCCTTGCTGGCTTGCCAAGGCCTGAGCAGTGACTGTGTGGACTCTGGACGTGTCTCTGGCTTGCTCACACTGCAGTTGTGTCAGGCCCAGGGGGAGCTGTCACAGGGCACATCCCTCTGGTGTTTGCTGGCTGGTGAGCCCTGCGTGTGCCTGTCACTGAAATGAGGGGCAGGGGAGCAGCCTGGCTGCCAGAGCTGAAGGATTGCTGAGGAAAGGCATTTCTCTGATGAGACTGTTCCTCTGTAAACCCAGGGTCAGCTGGTGCTGCCCTGTCAGGCTGGTGCTGCTCTGTGTCTCCTGGCATGTCCCAGGGCTGTGCTCTGTGCTGCCAGGCCAGTGTCAGTGAATTGCCTGGGCTCATCTCGCCTGGCCTGTGTGCAGGCCAAGCCGGGGCTCCCCTTGGGTGGGATGATTCCTGTTTATCTCCTATTTCTGCGTTTTGCCTTGATGTTCCCAGCCTCTCCCTCTCTTCCTGCTGTTGTCTGTGTCCTGCCTGCTGGTGCCCTGAGGGCTCTGCAGAGCGCTGGGGCCCTCCCAGCCAGTTCCTCACCCCTCCAGCAGCACCCTGGAGTCACGGGCCTCACCTAGCATCTGCAAGGTGCTCCTCGGGTACTACACGAGTGGCTAAAGACATTTGTGCTGGTGGGAGCTTTCCTGGCAGTAGACTGGGGGGGTGAAGGGTTTCAGGAGCACACCTTCCTGGTAGAAATGGGAACATCCATCTGTCCTGTGGCCACTGGCACAGGGAGCTCTGTTCCTGCCCAGCCTCCCCGTGCCAGGGCTGAAGCTGTGAGTGAGCAGAGCCCAGTTAATTATCCAGAACCAGCATCCCATGGTGGGGTAACTTGGAGCCATCCTGGGAAGCACATGCTTCCCCCTTGGCAGTGGAAGGGACAGGTCCTCCCTTTCACATCAGCTCCATCGGCAGCGACTCTGCACGTACATGAACAGTGGCCCCTGAAAGTCACAGCTCCCCACTCTCAGGAAGAGTCAGCCCTCACTCTCAGGCACATTTCTGCTCTCTTTCCCCTTTTTTTGAACTCCTGAGACAAGAGCAGGCATTGGCAGGGGTTACATGAGCCATGCAAAAATGCCATGGAGTTGAGATCAGCCTTGTCTTTGTGGGATTTTACTTCCCCCTCTGTGGCTGTCGCCTCCCTTTCCTGCCCAAGACTTTCTGACTTCCACTCTGTGGGATTAAACCAAAAGAAAGGATTTCTGGGAACTTTCTCTCCTTTAATGAAATTCCTCCCTTATTTCCTAACTCCTCAGCCCTGCTGTGGAGGAGGGTTGAGCACGCTCCTCCCAGACCTGAGAGTGCTGCTCCAGTAAACCTTCCTGTGCCAGCCTGGAGCACTGTGCAGTGGAGTCAGGCAGTTCCCATTTCCTGGTGGGAATTCCTCTGAAATCAGGGAGACTTGGAGAGACATGCAGGGGATCAGTCATGGTTATACCAGTCCCTGCTCACATACTGAACTGACTGTGTGAGGTCTCGTGGAAGTTGAGGAATCCTGGGAAGAGTTAAATCCGTGGAGACTGATGACTTCCTGGGGCTGAGCAAAAAGAGGCCTCGTGGAATGAGCTCATGTTCAAGGGAAGCAGAACTTCAAAGAGGGCAGGCTTGTTTATTTACTGCTGGTAACTTCATTCAGCTCTAATCTGTCTCTGCTGCTGGTTGCCAGTGGAGGTGGAGGAGTGCAGGGCTTCTCCCAGGCACAGCCTCTCTCCAGCTCCAGGGCCTCCCACTCCCATCAGTGTCTGCTGGGCAGGGTGCTGGTGGAGCTGAGGCTGGCCAGCCATGCCGAGGGGAGCTCTGCTGAGGGCACTCCAGTGTGTGTGAGGGGAGGAAAGGGAGGTCAGATGGTGGGGAAGAGCAGCCTGAATGCCAGCTTGGTCATTCCACTGCTGCCTGCTGGCTGTGCAGCAGCCTGCTGGGAGAGCCTGTCCTGTCTGGATGCAGCACCCCTTGGAGCTGGGGGGAAAAGCAGCTCTGGGGGTGCCTCCTCACGCCGTGGGTCCTGGGCATGTCCCCGTGTCAGCCTCGGGCCGGGGTTGGAGGTCAGCTCTGCTGGGCTGCAGAGCCAGGTGGAATGTGGGAGAGCTCATCCTGTGCATCCTCAGCTTTTCCATGGGGGCAGGCAGGTCCCAGTGGCCATCCCAAAAGGAGGGGCAGTTCTGTGGGAGTGCAGCAAACTCCCTCCAGCATCCCACCCACACCAGCAGGGCGCCCTGGGGTTGTCCCCTGGCCAGGAATCCCCACTCCACTCCTCACACGTGGTGTACAGCACCTTACCTTGCTTTTCATGCTTCTCACACGTGCTTTTTTACCCTTAAACACGCATCTAGGCTTTTAGGAACACAAGTGAGGTGGACTCTGTGTTAGCTGCATCTGGGGACTGGGAGCTCTGCTCAGAGGGCAGGCTGGGCAGTGGCAGCTGCTGCACTGGCCTTGCTCAGGAGCTGCTCAGCACTTTTTTTAATGTTTCTGAAAATGCTGTTTGCATGGTCGTTCTTACTGAGTCAGGCACTCATCTAGAGAAATACTGGCTGAGAAATGTTTCTCACAGCACAAGGACATAAAGCAGCTGAATTAAGGTTGCATGGGGCATTGAACCCCTTCAAACTTCCTGCAAAGGATTTGGGCTTTCTATTGCAGAGTTTTAGAATTAGGGCAAAGCAGAGAATGATGTTTCCCCATCTTCTGATGTTGCACCACACAAAAGCAAGGCCAAAATGCACTCTGTGCACATCACTAACATCATGGATTTTTGTCAGCAGAAGGCCCTGAAGGTGTACTGGGTGGGGAGGGAGTTACCCACCCCTGCCAGGTCTGTGTGCTTTCACACAGTGACCCAGCTGCCATCACAGCAGGTACGGGCAGGAGGTGACTGATGCTCCTCAAGCTCAGAGCTTCAAGGTTTAGATGCTGTGATTCACATGAAGAGTGCACGAGTCTGTGCACTGCAGCAGTGTTTGGTGGGAGAATGATTTGGGAGGAAAGCAGAGATTGAAGGAGGCAAATGTGTGTGCCAAGTGTGGTGGGTTGTCCTGGGAGACAGTTGAGCCCCCCCAACCACTCACCCCCCCAGGGGGATGGGGGGACAATCAGAAGGGTAAGGGGGTGGGAACTGGTGGGCTGAGATACAGACAGTTTACCAGGAGAAACAAAAGCTGTAGGTGCAGGGCCAAGCAGGCTCTCAGTCATTGCTCCCCACTGCAGGCTCAGCACCCCCAGGACAGTGACTGGGGACAGCAAACACCATCCTCCATCCCCCTTCCTCCTCCTTCCCCCAGCATTGCATGCTGAGTGTGGGACCCTCTGGGCTGGGGTATCCCTTGAGCAGTGGGGTCCCAGCTGTGCCCCCTCCCAGCTCCCTGTGACCCCCAGCCCAGCACTGCCCAGAGCAGAGCTTGGCTCTGTGCAGGCCTGGCCCAGCAAAGCTGAGCCCTGGTGTGTTGGAACCCTGACACAGCAGCCCCCGAGCTGTTGGTGCAGAGCATTAACTCAGCCCAGCCAGACCCAGTGCTTTTGAAAAACTTTTGCGTGCATTTTACTTTTTTTAACCTTCCTGGTCCTTGAGGAGCCTGTGGGCTCTCAAACAGGACAGAAACAATCCTGCTCTCAGGTCACTGCCGTAAGTGGAGCATGGACTGGGGAAGCTGCTTTGGAGAGTCCCTCTCCATCATGAGCACTACAGAAAATCAATAGTTAGGATTGACCTAAAGAATAAGGATTGTTGTTTAGTTACTTTAAATCATGGCTGGGGAGAAGGAGAGAGAGAGAGAGGCCCACAGAAGTGGAGGTGCTGCTGCTGAGCTTCAGGGAAACAAAGAGGGAAATAACTGTGATAAAAATCAGTGAGAAGAAAGAAGGAAGAGATAAGAGGCTGGTTAATGATTTTAGTTTCCAGGGCCACCTGCCCTCAGCTGGGAGGTGGGATGATGGAAATCCCCCTCAGCCGAGGCATGGTCTTGTAGAGAAATGTGCCTGCCTCTGTAACTCATGGGAAGGCAGGGGTTCACAGCCCATCACAGGCCAGAGGAAGGTTCAGTTCTTTGTAGTCAGGGAAGCACACACTGGAAGAGGATCTGTGAGAAGTTTTTCTCGTTTCTGAAGTGGTTTGTGGGATGGAGAGCTGTGAGCACCTGGGGGAAGAGAAACCAAAGCAGGGTCTTCTCAGGTGCCTCTGTGAGGCAGCTTCCAGCTCTGAGCCCTTCCCCTGGGGAGATGGTGCTCTGGAGGGTCTGTCTCTGCCAGGGAAAGGCACAGGGCTGGGAGAAGGGCCTGGGCAGGCAGGGTTGGGGCTCACTGTGACCTGTGACTGTGGGCACAGGCACCCGAGAATTTCTGCAAGATCTGGGTCTTCGCACAAGAAAGCAGGTAGGGCTCTTATTTAAACACCAGCTTTAAGTTTTGAAGAAACACGTGCATTTTTCTGGGGTTTCTGCCACAGTATCAGGAAGTTTAGGTGGGATTTGTTTCAAAAAGTGTGAGGAT